TGCTGGTGCTGATGGTGGTGCTGGTGCTCGTGCTCGTGCTCGTGCTTGTAGGCTGATGCTTCGGGGATTGGCGCTGTCCCAGGCCGACAGATCAAAGCTGCATGCGACACAAGCGACCGTCACCAGTTTTGCTCGAAGCCTTCACCTCTGACCCCAAGCCTTCAAACCCAAAGCCCTGGAGACCTCCAAATGAAAATGCGCTCATGCACCAGGACGCCCGGCTTTCACTCTCCATGGGTGAGGCCGCGATGGCACTCCTTCAGGAGCTCTGCAGGTTTTAGAGCTCAGAGCCTCGGGCATGGGACCTGGCATCTCAGTGGTTGACCAGAAGCCATGGCTTTCTGCGCTGCTTCCGAATCATGCATCATCATGAAACGTAACCCTGTCCAGTCACGAGGAGCTAGATGACGCAATCTCCTGGGAGGCAGGTCTCGCTTGGGGACTTCTGAGTCAGAGCTCTGACTTTGCTTTTGCAAGGGCGTCGCCATCGGCTTCCTCGTAGAAGCGTACATCCTCAACAACCAGTCCGAAAAGGCTTGGCGTGCTGGTTGCGCCTGGATGAGCTCCATGGTCATGCACGGGACAGTGCTCCAGCTGCGGTCGCATGTACAGGTGATATGGTGTAAACTGTGTAGCCGACGTACTTTGGTCGTCATTTCCTCCACCGTCACCATCAAATCCAATAATTAAGAATATCATTGCTACTAGTGTTACTACCATTGTGGCGGCAATGGGCGGCGACTGCACTTCGAGTACGCTCGAGTATGCGCGGGTACGCTGGAGTACGCTGGAACGCTCGAGCACGCTCGAGCACACTCGAGTACGCTCGGCGCATACTCGGGCATTCTCGCGCATACTCGTGCATATGTGCGCATACCCACGCGTACTCGCCTATACTCGGCGCTGCCCAGGCTCCCCACCTGCAGTCGCGCTTTCCCGCCACAGTGCTTACTACAATCGCAATAGTAATCATAAGTATTGTTATTACTGCTACGATTGTTATTGTTGTTGTTATTAATTACTAGTGTTATTACTCTTCTTCTTAGTACTCTTATCATTAATTTTATTGTTGTTGTCATTACTACTATCTTGCTTCTGCAGGCCGTGCAGCTCTGCAAGGATGCCTTGGAGCGCGCGCGGCCGCGAACGGATCAGAAGAGGGAGGTTCCGCGCTGGCCCGGGGGCGTTTGGGAGATTCTTCGGTATCGAGGGCGCGATTTCAGTAGACCTATTCTCACTTGCAGTTTTGCACTGAAGACAGCTTGGAGTGCTTCTTGTGAGTGCAAGTGTTCGACCTGCTGCTGCCGTGTAAGCTCTACTCTACCCGCGCAGCTCCCTGTAAATCAATTACAACGTGGCTATGAATGCGGCAGGCGACCTTTTCCTCGCATCGTTCACGAGCATGTCGACGTTGGAATCTTTGTCAACTGTGGCAGCAGCGACTTGATCGTTCTGAAGGAACGATCATGTCGCTGCTACCAAAGTTGACAAATGACGCTCCCAGAAGGGTGGGTTTGACCGCGGACGGCGACATGATCGTGGCAGCAAAACATTATTCGCTCCACACAGTGGCAGGGATCATGAGCAAAACGTCTTCATCATGAAGTTCCCTGCTGCTGCTGCTGCTGGCATCACACGCGACACCGTTCCCTGGAGTGGCAGGTTCTGGGTTCAACAAGCGAGCACCTACACCGACGATGATTGGCGGTGCCCCAACGGCGACACCTTCGTCGTGGGGAAGGTCTTATCACGTATATCTTGCAATGATAGAGGGTGGCCAAGGAGCGATGACGTGCTCGTGATGAAGTTCACTTCCAGGCATGGAGAAAGACGTTCGACACCAGTGGAGAGCTCTGGGGATGCACAGCCGACGGCACATTTTTTTGTCGTCCCAGGAGGTCGACGGCAATGCGACGACCCTCGACACTGCCTTGGTCGTGTTTGCAAGCGGGGACATCCTCCTAGCGGGATACTCGTCGGGATCCATGCAGGGATTCTCTAATATAGGCTCCACCGACGCAGTGGTCATGAAAGTCAGCGGCAGCGGAACGGTGCGATGGACACGGCAGTTTGGCACTTCGAAGTTTGACAGTGCGGATTCTCTCTTGGAGGACGTGGATGGCGGTTTCTTCCTCGCGGGCACCACGGTGTGGATCGATGGGACATCCTCCAGATGAAGTTTGCCACCTATGGTGAGTCGCAGACGTATAAGCACGGAACTTCCTCTAACGAATTCCCTTCGGTCACGACCCGGAACTCGCACGGCGAGATCGTTGTCGCGAGGGCAACGACCAGCACTGTCTTCACGGCGACCTTCCCGAATGCTCCGTGCCCTCTGACGACGAAGGCACCGATGCCCGAAAAGAACACAACGTCTTCGGGTGCCCGGGCGGTACTCGCATGGGGCTTAGGGCTTGGGGCTTGCGATTGGTGGCACAGCTTAGCTGCTAAGCTTCCCGAGTGAGAGCTACTTTTGCCTCCTGTGGCTAAAAGCCAAATTCTAAGCCTTTGCAAGAAGGCTTTGTGCGGCTGGTAACATCGTAAGCCTTCCGAGCGCTGAGCGCTCGGGGAGGTGGTTGTCTCCGAACAGGCGGCCAGGCTGCCGCAGCTACTGCCATCACCACGGCCGCCACTCCCACTGCTACTGCCACTGGCATCACCACCACCACCACTACCACTACCACTACTACTACTACTACTACTACTACTACTACTACCACCACCACTCCTACATCTCGCTACCAACACTACTGCTGCTGCTGCTGCTACTGCTGCTGCTCCCATTGCTCCTATTGCTACTGCTGCTGTCACTGCCACTGCCACTGCTACTGCTACTGCCACTACTGCTGCTGCTACTGCTCCTCCTCCTGACGACGACTACAATGCCTACTGATGCTACCATGGTCTTGGCCAGACCGTCTACCTCCTGCACCATCTGATCCATGCTTTGTCCGTCTACGGCGACATTGACCAAGTACTCGAGGCCCGGAGGGGTGGGGTTGAGGTTGCGGGTTCCAGCGGAGGCCCGGCTTACCGGAATTAGCTTGATAAACCCGGCATTGGTTAGTGCAGCAATATTTACGTGGGGAGCCTGCAATATGTGCATCTGCCATATACATGCCTGACGATTCGTTTGACAATGCCCAGAATCGCTCTATGGAAGTGTTGCAGAAGTCTTGCACAGTCCTTTCATCCAGTTGTACTTACGTACTTGCCTCACGGTCGTAGGGTCCAAAGCATGCTGTTTCTCCAGGAACTGGAGTGCTGAGCCATTCTGAAACGGGCATGTTGTGCACCTGCAATTATAAGGGCGACTTGAAGCTAGGGTTGCATCAGTGTGTATGTATTATGTATTATATATATAATATGCAGTTTACATACATACATACATACATACATACATACATACATACATACATACATACATACATACATACATACATAGTATACACACACATTATATATATATATATACACATAAGTAAGAGGATCTATTATGTATACCTTTCACAGGTCAGCTGTGACCTGGAGCCGGAACAAATCCGAAGGTTGGAACCTCGAACCCTTGGACCCGAACAAGAATTCCTGGGAGGCTTCAGCTCCGCTTTTCATCCTACGACGACACTGCGTGACAGAGGGCTCAAGCTCCCTAAACCCTACAGCGAATCCCCGAAAGTTGGAACATAGGCTTAGGAGGAGTAGTGCTAGGATGCCTTCTACTTTAGGTTAAGGCATGAGATATTCATGTTCCAACTTTCTGGCTTCTACCGTACATCGCAATCCCTCGAACTTTAGCTTGGGCTCAGATGTAGCACCGGAGCTCCGCAGCTACGAGGTCTCAGACGAAGCCCTGGCATTATCTACAGAGGTTGGCTGCATGTCCTGCCCTCGGCTGTGGGGCTTTGGGATGGAGGCTTGAGTCGCAGGGTTTTCATGGTTGAAGTTTCGCAGAAGAGATTTTTCAACCCCAAACCCTAACCCCCCAAATCCTGAACCCCATAAATGAACCCCACAACGGGGGTCCGGGGCCATGGGCTTTGGGATGAATTGCTTACGAAGGCGCTTGAAAGCGCACGTCTACGAAGAGCTTAGCCACGCTCATCTGCTGGTAGCGGCCTCAGGGGGCTTGCTGCGGGCGTGGGTTTGGGCTGCAATTGTAGAGTTTAGGGTCTAGGGAACTTTAGGGCTTAGGGTCTAGAACCGTCAGCTGCTGGTTTCATCGTTTCATCCTTTCTCCGTCACGGGATTCTGGACACCCTAAACCCTAAAAACCTGAACCTTCAGGGATTCTAAACTGAAGGTGTATCTCTTGCCCTTGCAAACAGCTGGGAAACAATCGCCAACTCAGATGTGGTCGCAGGCTTTTGTTCGGAAAGCTTCCTCATCGACTCTATTGTGACATGGAATGCTAGTTTGTCGCCAACCAGGGACGAGCTCGATTAGACAGGGTTGTTTGGCATCTTCTGCGTTGGTTTTGAGAGGCTGGCAGTTTCTGCGGTCAGATACAAGCATCCGGACCTGCGCAAGGCAGAGCAGAACAACGACGCGCTCTATGCCGCGAAGGCACTTGTGGTTTGGGATCGAGTAAATAGCAGCTTTTGGCTTCCTACCTCTAGGCATGTGCAAAAACCTTGTGGCCTAGTTCCAACTGCTTCTGCCTGGACCACAGGAAGCAGTGGGCCTGCTCAAAGATCTGGGCGCGGACCACGATGAGATCACCACGCGACTCCAGGCCCGTTTTCCCAGATCAGAACGGCTTTCTGCTATGCAACTATGCCGGTCTGCTTGCAGCGATTGTTGTTTCACGTTTGGGTTTTCAAGAGAGTGGTTAATAAACAAAGCATCACACTGTCATGTTCAGTGATTGCTGTTGTCGATCTGGTGTAGCATCAGACTTATTATCACCCGAGTTGCTTCTGTCTCCATTCCCCTGAGACTTGTTTCTGTGCCAATTCGAGCTGTGGCTATCGCACCGGTGGCCCTAAACTCACTAAGCCCTAAACCACTAAAGCCTAAAGGTCAAAGGTCTGCAGAACCATTTTTGTAACCCCAAGCAGTGCTGACCGAGGTCCTCACGAAAGTCTTGATCATCCAGGATAACTACCAGGAGGCCCACAACCAGATCGAGATGGCCAAGGACTACCGGGCTGGATGGCCTTGGGCAACCAGCTGAGAGCCCTCAAATTTTAGGTCGATAGGGTCCTGAAGGCAGGAAGCTCCATGAATCTTAAACTTGCGTGTTTGTGAGGACATAGCGCAGAAAATCGCGAGGCACTGAGTTCGCGGTCGTGTCTGAGGGTACAAGCAAGGGTGTAATGTAGCGTCGCACACATCTCCAGTAGATGATACTGTAGGGGCCTTAATTATTAGAATAGAGTTTTGGGGTATATTACGCTATAACTGTAATAAAGAACCCCCCCAAAATATTATTGGTAATTAGTAAGGCCCCTATATTGACGTGTTACCTTGCTACGCAAAGAATCCTCAGCAAGCCTCTCTGTTGAGGCTCAAGCATTGCTGTTCAGGAAGCAGGTCCCTTGTCTCAGTCCCCAACAGAGTACGGCACCCTTTTACAAAGGACCCTAAAAGGGACCTAATTTAGAGAACTACTCAGATGGAGTCTATCAGACTTTGGGGGCCGAGCAGCCATGCTTTGTCTAAGGAAGAGAAGCCTTTGGAGGCTTTCTGTCTCTCCATCCAGTCCCGTGGAGAGCTTAGCTGCAAGTGCGAAGGGCACCTTCCTTGGATTGGGCTTGGGTATTTAGGGTTCAGGTTTAGGGCTCATGAAAAAGGCCATTCATCTCTGCTGTATAGTCAGTGGTCTTCGTGAGGGGAAGGGAACTGTCCCGGCTTGAATCTCATGGTTGCAGTCGGCTTATCTTGAGACTGTTGCTATGTCAATTACTGTTACTATTTCTGGTACTATGCATATGAACATTACTATTACTATTACCCTCCTGCCCGCGGCTCGTTGACACCCGAACACCCCAACACCGAAGCTCCCAGCCGCGAACCCTTGAGCTGCACATTCAGAGGCCGCCTGGAACGCTGGATAATGCCCCTCATCCTTCCAAAAGCCTAACACTTGTTATTACGACTATTACCATTACTGTTACTATTGCTATTGCTAGTACTCTTACATTACTATTACTAGTACTATTACGATTTTCATTTCTGTTACTATTACCAATTACTATTACTGTTACTATTGCTGTTACTTGCCCGGATGCCCAGGCTTTATAGGCCAGATCCCTCTGGCCTCAAATACCGCAATCCAGAGCCCGAGAGCTTCAGAAATCCAAGAGCCTCAAACTTTCGAGAGCTTTCCACCAAACCATAAACCCCAAACACTAAACCAGGAACCCTTAAGCCCCAAACTCGAATTACTCCATCCGAAAAGCCCTAGAAGCTTCACGCCCAGGACCTCAAAACCCTAAACCCTGAATCCTAAACCCTGAACCCTGGACCCTTGAAAAGAAGGCCCTGGAGCCGAAGCCCTGAACCCTAAACCCTAAACCCAACACCCGAAACCCAAAACCCGGAACCCTATATAGACCCTGAACCCTTCAACCTCCAAGTCTTTGTTCAGGTGTGCAGGCCCTCCTCGGCGATCCCGAGGGTGGCGTCAAGGTCGAGGGCTTGCTGGCTTTTGTTGTCTGTTTTGGGGGGTTAGGGTTTAGGGTTTAGGGTTCGGGGGGGGGGGGTTGCGGCAGCTTGTTCTCTTTTTGATTAGCTTATGCCTTAGTTACTTCTGTTTTCCTAAAGATTTGGGGTTTGGGGTTTCGGGGTTGAACTCAACTCAGTTCAAGAGTTCAAGCCCAGGTGGAACCCAGATTCGAACTCTTGTAGAAGAAAAGACTTCGAATCTAGGTTGAATCTAGGCTCGAACTTCCCTAGCCTGGACCTGTGTGCTTTGGCTTGACCTCCAGCTGCTTTGCCTCCCTTTCTTTTGCGGTTCTTCTCATCTTCCCCTGCCTTTTCGCTTTCGTAGCTCAGGCACTTCTTGGAGAAGTGGCCCGTACGGCCACGTTTCCAACAAATCTGTCTCGAAACGCGTTCAAGCTTGACGAAGAATTCAACCACATGTTTTGCTTCTCAAAGAATGCTAGAACCAGCTCTTCTCTCTGTGCAGAACAACGTGGTGCCTTTTTGTGGCTGCAGGTCTTCCATTATCGAGATATGTAGGTCTGTGTGCAGTCGTTCATGTTTTTAAAATGCAGGCTCGGAGATCACGAACTACGACCAGGGGATTTGCCTCTTGAGCAATCGAAATCCAGGATTCGAGTATGAGTCCTGAGACATAGAACCTAAATCTTTAACCCTCAACCCTGCACCCTAAGGCTTAAGCCCGAATACCGTAACCCTAAGCCCCAAACCCTCAACCCTATGCCCTAAGCCCTAAACCCTATGGTGTCAAGGCGGCGGACCTGGCCATCGACATGTTCAAGGAGGATGGTGACAGGACGCCTGAGCCGCCTCGTCTCTTGAACACGTGGGTAGCTCGGGTCCCTTTTGAGGTCCTTTTTACGGTTCGCGGTCCAGGGTTTAGGGCTTCGGTGTCCTTTTTATAAGGGTGCCGCCTTCTGTTGTGTTCCTACACAGGGACCACAAGGAAAGGGAACTACCCACATGCAAATCACAACGTCTATCGATGCGTGGGTTGTTTGTCTTTTCTGGAACACCACTACTATGGGGGGAGTAATCGGAGATATTATTCTTTGGTATTCAACTTATCCCCCCAAATCCTATTATTCTACGTATTAGGACACTTATATCACGCTTGTGGATAAGCTCGCATGCTGGTCCGGCAATCGCATGGCGTGGGCAGCGGGCCAGTCTCGAGTTGTCGTCGCATGTCCGGTTCTTTGCAATTCTCAGGTTTTGGGGTATTTCTTAGTTTAAATCCATCAAGGAACCCTATTCTAGTATAACTCCATTAAGCAATCCTAGAAGAATACTATGTGTCACTGTTCAGACCGGAGAATCCGCTTCCACTGCGCCGTGCTAAAGATGCCTGAAGCCTTGCTTGAGCCTGGGAGTTCCGGACCTGGACAAGTCTTGGGGCGATACTATACCAAATTATTGTCTGGTATAGTATTGTAGCATAGTATAGTAAAGGATCGTATAGTATAGTGTAGTGCAGTGTAGCTAGTACCGTAGCTGGTTGTTGGGTTGGGCTGGACCCATGATCACGCAGCCATCACTCAGACCACAGCCATGAATAGAAGCTCGAAGCTCAAGAACCTAACGGTGCCGCTGTGTTTTGAATCCGATAATAAAGGGGCCTCAATAATTACCTGCATTAATTTGGGGGTTCCTCATTGTAATTATACTATAAAGGACACCAAAACCCTATTCCAATTATTAAAGCCCCTATATGAGTCTGAGCTCTTCAGCCGCAGCCCTCACAGGAGAGGTGAATGCCGTGTGTGGGAGGGCCTCTCAGAGCCTGGCACCCAGCTTTTTTGCAGCCTTGACAGGATGTGTAATCGTACGTAGTACAGGGGCCTAAAGAGTTACCAATGCTACTTTGGGGGCTCCATATTATAACTATAGTAGAATATGCCCCCAAACCTTATTCCAATGATTAAGGCCATCTGCATTAGAGGGCTCTTCTTGGATGAAGGGTTGTTTTTCAGATTCAGGGGGGCCATGCCTACAGGACAGCAAGGTTTGAGGGGGAGTCTGTGTTGTCGGATTTGCAGCTTCCGTGTGACGGGGTCCGAGGGGGAGGCAATGCCAGTTCACCAGGCTTGGAACGACTTGCAAGCTCTTTTCTCCTCATGGCCCTAATTAAGCCTGAATACTGCAGACCCCTCTGTAACTATACACTACAGTTTTCCTTCGGTCTTTTTTGTATAGTCATATACACTATGTACAGTCGGAGCCCAAGCCCCAGCGCATACAGTAAGCTCCAGCCTGACATCGGTTGCCATAGCTTCAGCTAGGATTTTCGAAATTGATTCCTGCTTGCCGTGCAACTACTATCGTAGTATTTTTAGTATACTCTAAAAATACACTGCAGCGTGCCATAGTATACTATCGTTCCTCAGCTCCAAACCAAGGATTCACATGACCGCAAATGACTTCTCTTCCGCGCTGCGAGCTGCAAAGCGAGCAGAGGCCTTGCCCTTAACATCTGCGCCCTGTGCATGTGCCGTGTTACACGTGCACGGTGCACACAGACAGAGGATAAACCGTGCCTGAATCTGAGTCTGCAAGTCTGCGAGTTTGGACATGAGCATGGCTTTGCGAGGCTGTTGTTTTGGGAAGCGGGTTGGAGCCGGCGGGAGTGTGCGTGTGGGTCTTCCATGTCTAGCATCTGCTTTTGCTAAGACTCTCTGCGCGGACGTGGGAGACACACGCTTGATGGCAAGGATGAAGTCTGAGCCTCAGCGATTGTTCGGCATTTCAAGGAGGCCCTCTTGATCTCTTGGATGTGTCCTAAGGCACACGACGTCGATGGTGCATATGTCGGCTGACGCTCATGATGAGGCAGGACTTCAATCTGGCGGCTAGTCCCTAAACCCTATCTGGCCCCATACCCTAATCCCTGAACCCTCAATCCTCAGCCCCGGTGCATCCCAGTGCTGTCCTTGGGATCCCAGCTGCCGAAATTCGTGCCAAGAGTCTTCAGCGCAGGCGAAAGCTGCCATTACCGAAGCGATCAAGCTCTCACGGGCAGATGATGACATGAGAGGGCCGGGATCTCTGAATTGCAGCTTTGCCCTTTGGAATCGCAGCATCCGCTCCGGATCTTGAGCTCGCTTCTTATGGAACCCTTATAGGAAAGAACCTTTACAGAAAATTCGAGTCTGATGTTTTAAGGACGGTGAAGTACATCTTCCTGGCCATGGACATCTGGGTAACGTCGCTGACAGCGATGGACCCAGAGGACTTCTGAGACTAAACCCTAAACCCTAGGAGGCTCGCATTATCAAGACTTCTGCCCTGGATCCAGGACAAGAGCAAGGTCCGCATCTACAGGCGGCGTCCTCCAGCCACGTCATGTGTTGCAGATGTTATATCATATTACGTAAGGTTATACCATATTATATTATATTGTATTTTATAATATTAATTCCAGTATATGATAGATATTCTATGATATGAGATTATAGTACTTAATATATTACAAAATATATTACATAATATATTACGTTTATATTCTATATACTATCATGTTATATAATATATGATCTGTCTACGATGGTCAGACTACGGTCCAGCAGGCAGGGCTGTGAGAAAGCGATGCGGCTGGCGAAAGAAGGCGTCAAGTTGAGCATCCGTTCGACTCTCAGCGTGGGTCTCTCGTCCAGCCTCGAAACTGCATTTCTGCTGACCTCGCAGAGCCCCATATCGGGGAACATGTGTTCCAGGCACGACGAGCAGTTGCCAGATGTCCTGCAGTGTTTGGAAGTTGCTGCAGCATGCCGCGATGCTGCAGAACGCCAGAATGTCAGCAGGGGAGAAAGCATGCCAATAGGAATAAGTTCGCACAACCATTTCACAGCAATAGCAATGCCGGTAAGTTGACTTGAAAACCCAGAATGACATGCAGACAGAGCTTAGTGGATGATGTCACGTACAAGCTGAACAGCTATAACTAGCCATGGCAGCCCCTTCGAGTCCGTAAAGAAAGTTACTACAACATATCCCCAAACCCATCCAAACCCTATTCCAATTTTTACGGCCCCCTTGAATATAGAACCTTCATAGAACCTTCGCCGTAACCTTATCCTACTTGTTAAAGTTCCTCTATTTTCTTGCTAAGACAAGGTCTGGAGGATCGATATGCAGAGTGCATGGCCAACTACTGGGTGTCTCGTCTGCAGCGGGTTTAGGGTTTAGGGTCTCCGCGAGGGGTGGCACTAAGAGTTAAGGAGTATGAACACCACATGAGGTGAGGGTGGACTGTCCCAAGACAGTGTAATGAGGTCGGGATTGCAGTGTATAGTACCCTTAGGTAAGTCTTGGCACTAGTTAATTTTCCCTCTCCTGTCTTGTCGCAGCTGAACTTTGGCAGCTGCCTCGAGAAATGCGACTGTATTCCAGGATCTGTAGCAGTGTAGCAGATTTTCTTGTGCTCGTGGGCTCGGCTAGTCGCCAGTGTGAGCATGATACATAAATCGAACTGTGTACAGAGAGTCGCAATTCACACTATACAGTCGCAGCTGCCCATCTTGTGCGACTTTCCGTAATGAACTTGTCGTCACAAGTGAGTAGTAAACCCAGAAATGAATAAGAAGATTTAATCGGGAACCGGTAACCGGAAGGCTGATCAACCTGGGGCTCAGGTTGGAACCATGCATATCATGATGGGCCCGTCCCTGAGATCCTGGCTGCGTCATGCCTCGTTTGGGGTCAGAAGCCATGTCTCCATCTCTGGCCAGATTTCAGAGCATCAGCTCTTGTTGGCATTACGACCCTATGTCCTTAGCCTTCACCACGACGCAGGTCGTCCAAAGGAAGCTCGCGTCAACGCCGACGTGTCGCTTGAGATTGCGAAATCCAAGCGGGATATGCCGGGGTTCTCGGAGACTATGATGTGCCCCGCGCTTCTCTGAATTGGTACGTAATGCTCACCGAATCACAGACTAAGGCTCAGCGAGATGTATGCCCGCGGGCTTCTGGCACAGAACTCAGCTCGAACCCGATCGACATGCAACATTGTTCAACCCAGCACTTCGACCAGAGTTTACTGAGAAATCTATTGCTTTGAGTTTCTTGACCAAGTTAAGGCTATGCAGTATTCGGGCTTGTGTGCTGTACGGCCAGGTGCAGATCTGCCTGCAAGAGAAGGACGTCAAGAGTGCCAAAGAGAATCTTAAAGACGTGCAGGCGGGGATGCCTGGATTTTCGAAACCCAATCGCGCAAGCCTGGAGCTAAACGTCGTCATCATCATCATCATCATCACCATCATCATCCTCATCATCATCATCATCATCCTCGTCGTCGTCGTGGTCAATAGCATCATCACCATCATCATCCTCATCATCATCATCATCATCATCATCATCATCGTCGTCGTCGTCGTCGTGGTCAATAGCATCATCACCATCATCATCCTCATCGTCATCATCATCATCATCATCATCATCCTCGTCGTCGTCGTCGTCAGCATAGTCACCGTCATCATCATCATCATCGTCGTCGTCATCAATAGCATCATCATCATCGTCGTCGTCATCCTCAGCATCTTCACCATCATCGTCGTCGTCATCCTCAGCATCTTCACCATCATCACCAACACCATCATCGTCGTCAGCATAGTCACCGTCATCATCGTCATCTTCATCAAGATACCGACGACGAAGACCACGACTGACGAGTAACGACGAGTACTGCTGCCGCAGCCCGAAAGCCAGTCACTGCAAGTGATAATTTCAATCACTCTCCAGTTAAGCCTTATGAGCTTTCTACAATACCAACATCCTGAACCAGAACCCCTAGAGCCTATGATTATAGATACTACTGAAACAATCAAAGCTCTACAGGGCCTACAAGCCTAAGAAACCCTGTAAGCCTTAAGGCCCTTCAGACCTCGATGGAGCCCTCAAAAAGTTTCAAAGTCATGGGCTTCCAGGGCCTGGCGGAAGAGCTTGGCGATCCGCAAGGCTCCTCCAAGTTCAGGGTCGTCCATCGGAGCTTCGGGGAGGCTTTGGGGCTTGTGGTTCCGGCGAGCGGTGGTAAACCTTAAACCCTAAACGCGAAAATAAACCCTCCCAAACCCTAAACACTAGATGAGCCTAAACCCCTCTATTAATGAGTCAGGCTTCTAGGTGATCTTTTAAGAGAACTGTGCCTTTTAAGCCGATCCGACTCTTCTCGGCTTCTGCATTGGGCTCCCTTCTTCTTGAAGCTTCCACTTCGGATTTTCGGGGTTCAGGGATGCAGAGCCGAGTTTTCAGAAGTGTAGGGCAGAGACCTTAAACTCCTGGATATCCCAGATCCTAAACGGTGGTTCGGGGCCAGTGGTGGGTTTTCATCTGTTGTAAGGCGGAGGTTCGTCCTCGAGCCCCACATCCTCCAAGCAAAGCCATTCCCCCCTAAAAAGAAATCAAGGGCCTAAGGCTTAACCCCTAAGCCCTAAACCCTAAACAACCCAACACCGAAACCCTCTTGAAAGGTCTTCCCCCGGAAGTCGAACACAGATCATGTACATAATCTTGACAGAAGATCTCCCCTGCCCTAGATAACATCAGGGATGAATCCCTATCACTATTATGGCTATGATTCAAATTCTTAATTCTTAATGATATATCTCTATTTTAGTATACAGTAGACTAGACTAGTAGTATGTGAATCGTATACTAGTATATAGTATAGAATTTATATAACATGCCTTTTTGAAGAACTCATGGAAGAAGCTCGCCCCTGCTGCCAGCCAAAGCCATGGCCGATCAGCTCAAGGAGCTGGTGCTGGGCGGCCGCCCGAGCAGGGCTTACGGTTGATGATCTAAATCCTGCAGTACCTCCAAAATAAGGAAGATACCATAATTCCCATAGTTCAGGGTCCTGAAGGTAATGCAGTAGTTATATCATCAACAGTAGGTCTCTCTTCCCCTGTGCTCTTGCTTTTTGCTTTCAGAGTATTCGGGCATCTTGTTCAGGAGTTGCTTCTTTCTTTTGGACTTGTGGGGCTTGTGGCTTGATGTCTGAGGATCCGCGGGTTTGTTTTGGAGATGAGCGCGATGGTTACTTGGAGGTCAACCCGCAAGGTTTGATGTGCAGACCCTGTGATTCGGCTTTCCAGGCTCGGGCGTGCAGGAAGCTGCACCGCAGGCACGGCTCCGGAGAGAACCAGCATGGAGATTGCCAGGAACTTCCCACGGTCTAGGGTTCGGTTTGATACGACTTCGACGATCATTCTGTGACGCCGCCTGCGCTACAGGCTGCAGCGATGGCTGCCCCGACACAGGAGTGCTGCCTACATTGCATCTGCAGGGTTGCCAGTGGTCGTGGCTCTGTACGATTACTTTGCAGACAGGGTCTAGCATGTCCTTTGGTTTGGTTGAATTCGGGCGTTTCAGCTGAACAAGCCTTGTCCGAGCAGTTCCTTTCAGAGCCTCTTCATGTTGTGTATTTCGAAGTGGCATGCGATATCATGCGATGATCTGCTTCCAGTCATTCATTCCAGCTTCCTGGGCACAAGAAACCACCCATGCCTGCATCACAAAGGATGGATTGAGAGGGTCGTTGCAGGCTGCAGCTGTTAAGCCAAACTTGGATACACCTCAAGTCCGTAAAGCATCCAAAAGACATGCTGCCAGCGGCCACAAACACCCGCCTATGCACCCCGTAGCATGAAACAGGCCGTCGGATGGTTTGTAACAGGGGCTACACGAAAGCCTTGAGACTCAAGAGCACCTTGGAGTTCTGTTTATCCGACCTGCTCTCAGAACTTGATCTTCATGTCGGGAAGGACTTTGCCGGTGTCTCTTCGGCAGCCACCTCTGAAGACTTGGCCCTCGGCTCAGTCTTTTGAGTTCCGCCGGACTCGGGGTTCGGCGCAATGGCGTAGGATGTATCAGACAGTTTTGGAGAAGTACAGCCCCAAGTCCTGAAGGCCTACATTGCACCAGATCCACTCACCATCAAGCAGAGAGCTCAGCGCATCTGTGGTGCCACGGCCTAAGCGAAAGGCGCGGACTCCAGAAAGCCTTGTCGTGCTCAGGACTCACATCATCGCGATGGTGAAGAACATGGTCGGCGGCGGTGACGAGGTTGATGGTGACACGCCACTCATGGAGTTCGTGCCTCGAACCTGGGGACATGCCATAAGCCAGAAGTGACTTGGAGCTTCTGGCCGACTCGCCCACCTCCATCTTCAGAGCTTGAAGGGCAGCTCTGAGACTCGCCCTACTATGCTTAGCTGGGCTTAGCTGCCTTTTTGCGCTCTTCTCAGCTCTCCTCGGCACCCAGGTCCGGTGTGGACAGCCTGGCGAGCGTGGAGCTGCGAACACAGCTGCAAGGGGTCGGCAACGACACGCTTGTGTTTCGGATCGGAGCTTCGCTGTTTGAAAGACGTTCCGAGGCGGAAGCCAACCAGCAAAATTTGCGGAGACATTACGTGATCCGTCCGGGCATGCCAGGAGTTCAAGGTCAACTTGCCTTCGACAGTCATGTTCAACTATCCCACCATTGAGGGCTTGACTGGGTCACAGCCTCAGGCTGAAAGACAAATCACCTGCAATCCCATCGGACTGCCACCTTTTGAATGTCTTCACTCTGGAGGCTCCTTGTCGACGAGTGCACGCAGAAGAAGATCACCTGGACTGGTTGAGGAGAGAGTCGAGACTCAGTCTAGGGTTTCGGGTTTAAGTATAGGGTTCAGATTTCGGTCTCGATTATAGGGTTCAGGGCTTGTTTGGGGTTTGGGGTTTGGGGTTTTCGGGGCTTGCGACCTGAAGAGTTCCGGGCGGGTGGCAGCCTTCCGGACATGCACTGTCTTAGGCCCATGTCCCTCGTTTGGGAGCCCGGGGCTCCAAGGATCCGAGTTAGGAGAAGCCCTGTGGCCAGAATGGTGAGTCGGTGATGGCCCCTCCGCTGCCTTTGATACCCCAGAGGCGGCAGGCTCCCGGGATCCCTGCCCAGGCCCGCAGACTGGAAGGGGTGGAGAGCCTGCCAGCATTACCATCTTGGCAGGCACCGGTTGTGAGGACGGTCCACCTCTATGAGCATGTCCATGATCACCATCACTTCGTTTATCCGCGACGAAGGCCCTCTGTGCCGTCAGTGCTTGAGCCACTGCCTGAAAGGAGGCCTTCGATTCCGGAAGTGGTTGTGTTGCCGTGCTCAGAGCCAGTCGAGCCAGAGCCTGCACCACAGCCGGCAGTGGCCCTGGACGCTGTGCAGCTACACGACCTGCCCGACGTGCCGGAAGCGGAGGTGCTCGGAGAAGAGCACTCGCACGAGAAAGGGCGCGAGGCACCCGTGCGAAGCAGCCTGCTGCAGGTACTACCCGAGAAATCCCAAAGGCTGGACAGCCGTGGTTCCGTGGCCTCCTCCCGCCTGTCCTCTTACAACAGCGAGGGCTCGAAGTCCCGGAATCTGGGTTCTTGTTCAGGAACGCGGTTTCAGTTACCATCATAGGGATCTAGCAAATAATGTGGTGCCCTTCTCATGCTAACTTAGTTAGGCCCCTAAAAGAAGAGCCCAGGAATGGCAGCAAGGAGCCTCCGAGGTTACGGGCGAGGCCCTCGAAGAAAGAAGCCCGGAGGGTGGAGGTGGAGGACAAGCTGTCGAACAGACTCCGGGTCCTCGAAGCCGAGAGCAGGCTCTCCGAAGGGAGGGAGGGCAGGGGGTCTCTTTTCTCTAATTTTCGATTGTCTTATTGATTAGTGTAGGCGTAGGGTCGAGGGGTTCATTGTGGTATTGTAGCTTGAGGGCTTAGGGCTTAAGCTTGTTTGTGATGTTTTTTGTATGTTGGGGAAAGTTCCTACTCGCCTGACCCTCAACCCTACACCCTAAACCCCATCTGAGAGCTTGAGATGTTTGCGAGGTGGTCAGATCGACGTCGCGACCTTCGGCGCTACATCCGAGAGCTGCCAGACAGCTCCAAGTCCCGAGCGAAGCAGAAGCTGGTGGACGTGAAGAGTTATAGAATAAAGTTCCTTTATTGTTTTGTTTGATAAGGGTTTCATAATTATATAGGTGATGATGTTGAGTTCGTAGCCAGACTAGGGCTCCTTCAAGGTTTGTTGGATAAGGGTTCCCGCAACTGTTCGTTCTAACATCAAGATAAAGGCCTTTATGGTGAGAAGGGCTTGGAGTAGATGAGAGTAGACGTATAGGAAGGAGCCCTTAGGGAGCAGTATTACTAGTGATTCAGGTGGGCCACAAGGTCACAGGCACGCTTCTCGACAAGACAAGGCAGCTCATCTGAGATTAGTGAGTCAGTTCGGTATAGGGCCAGAATAGGGTTTAGGCTTTAGGGTTTTGTGTTTAGGATCTAGATGGAAAAACTTCAACTGAGGCTAGAGACCCAGAAGGCAAAGGACACGCAGGAGAATCGCGACATTGTGCACCACATTGAGAAAGAGCTCCATGCATGTAGCCGCTCTCGGCACAGAGTCATGCGCATGCAGGCTGCTTTGCGGCGCCGGTTAGGCATGCATTCCATGGGGCTGGTGGCACATGAAGAGGAAGAGGGTGGCACTGGTGGCACAACTGATGCGCAGAGTGCCCCCACGGCTGCCGGACCGGCTTCCGAGCTGCCAAGCACGCTCAACCGTGTGTAGACGCTTTCTCCCTTGACCCCGATTCCTACAAAGATCAAGATCCTACACCCAGCATTTCCCCCCTCGAGCCACGCCCACCCACCGCCGCACTCCATCGGGAAGAAGCTGTAGTCTTTAGGCGAAGGAGAGCTGCCACTGCCACTTTAAGGCGGCTGCTGAAACCCCAGGTTCACTCGAATTCACGGAGGACCCGTGGCTCCTCCCAAGGAGGGCAGTGGAGTAGTCAAGCAAAAAGCCAGGGAGGATGGCAAGTTAGACCGTGACACAGGGTTTAGGGGTTCAGGGGGCCTTGGGGTTTTGGCGGCTATCGGGTCCTCAAGAGTCCCCTATAACAAGGCCCATTGCCCCTTCCTTCCCGCATGTGCGCCTGAAGCCATAAACCCTAACTCTTCCCTGACCTCACGTGACAGGAGGCTCCTTCCTGCCGGAAGAGAACGTGAGATGAACCTGGATTGCTGGGCATTAGATCTTCCATGTTTTGAAACGGGGACCCCCCAAGTGTTGAAGGCAACCACCCTGTCAGAATCTCAGGCTTCGGGGGTTCTTCCAGAGCCATAAAAGTAGACCAGTAACAGCAACAGTGGCTCAAGAAGTCGCAGCAGGGATGCCAGTATACCGAGTGCCAAGGCTCTACTTATTACCGTTATTATCGTTATTATCATGAGTACGATTATTATTTTTTTTGCATTATTCTTTTTGTTATTACTGTTATTATGTAAGCGTTGTTATTATGTCAACGTTTAGGAGTCGGGCTTCGCAAGTGCAAGGCTTCCAAGCCCCAAGCTCGCAGCGAGCCTCAGAGACCTCCGCAGTCTCGCGATGCTCGCCGTTTCGAACCGCGTCCCACGAAAGCGTCGACCGAAAAGAGCTCCGAGAGACAGAGAGGGAGAGAGGGCAAGGTGCCAGCAAACTCCTATCTTCGGGTTTAGGTGAAAGGGATTTAGGGTCCTAAACCCTAAACCCTAAAGGCGCAGGGGGCGAATTTGCCAGGTCTACGTTGGCCGCGGCGCGTCGCGAGTCAGGGATCTCTTCAGACAGGTGGGGTTCTCAGTTCCTCAAGGAGCCGCGCCCTTGCTGGTTGAGGAGAGCCTTTAGGCCACAAACACCTGACCGCACCCGGGAAGCCTGGGTTTGAGAGATTACCTCGAGGCAAGAAGCATGGCACCTGTGGTGCTTTTCTTGGACGAGCTGGATGCGCTAGGTGCGGCTTTATCCCGACTTCTGACGACAGGGCATGGAAGCAAAATTAAGCAACTCTGAGTCTGTCTCGCGACACAGGAAGACCTTGCATAAACCCAGCTGCACACAAAAGCTTTCGCTCCAGCAGGGATTCAGCATGTAAGAAGTTTCGGTTGCAGGGTTGAGTTGGGGTTTGGGATTTGGGCTTTTTGCGTGGAACCTGTAACCTGACTTCGAGATCTGTAGCCCAGGCTGCAATGCCTGAACCGATTCCAGCTTGCTTCAGCCATTTGCGGCCTAGGCCCCGAGCCCTAAACCCGAAAAGACCCATGACGAGTTCAGGGTCCCTGAACTCGTAACGACACATTTCCCAAAATAGGACATTCAATGCCTCGCATGCTTCCTCCAACCCTGACACTCCCCAAACCCCAAGCCGCGGAACCCCGATGGCTGGAACACCCACCTGCTGACGCCTGAACTCTAAACGATGAATCCTAATGCCTAAATCCCTAAAGCCCTAAACACCTTAAAACCCCAAAGGCCTAAAGCTCTAAAAACCCCAAAAGCCCTAGAGCCTTAAAGCCACCAAAAGCTATCAAGCCCTTACATGCACACTCGAGAAAGCCACACCGCACGAAAGCCCCAAAAGGCACGCGCAGTCGCGGTCAGGGCGTGCTCGGCGGGGGCGAGGAGACTCCGATGAGTGGTATTGCATGTTCACCTTAAGGGTCTTTTAGGGTTTAGGGTCAAGGGTTTCGTGTCTAATCTAAGTTTTGGCACTATGTGTTTCAATTTAAGGGTTGAGGGTTTAGAGTCTGGGGTTTATGGTTTTAGGTTTGGGGATTAGGATTACTACTTTGCGTTGTCAAAACTAGGATTACTGTTGAGTCCCCAAACTACAAGTGCCGTTTTGAGAGTAGAATTGTACAGGGTTCCCTAGAAGTGTTATCATAGATGTCGACAACTATCCAATTTTAATTAAACGGATCTTATTGAATAAAGGGGGTCTTACTTACTAGCTGTTGAGTGAAGCGATAAGTCAAAGGGTTTTGGAGTCTTTTGGGAAGCGCAGGGTTTGCTTGTTTTGTGGCGGCCGCTTGCAGCAGTATGTCAGGCTGGGGGCTTCATTACAGGTTCTCTAGCCAATGCAGAAGGTCTTAGTCGGATGTATGATTTCTAGCTACCTTGTTCCCGGCGACAGTCCGTGGCTTTGCAGGATTTACAGGGCGCATTTCGGGTCTGGGGTTTGGAAGGCTTGAGGCAGAGGTTTCTGTCTCTAGCAATTCAGATTGTACTGTCACAAGGGCCACTCACCTTGCTTGAGACGTGCTGTAAGAAAACCATCAGGCCGTAATACATAGGACGGAATAATTCACAACAGTATCCCTTTATGGTCTCTATCGAAGTAAAGTAAAGTATAGTCTGCCGCAAAACCCTGTTCGAATCATTAAGGCCCCTGTGTCACGCTGCAAGGTTTGCAATGGATTCGAGTTGCGAATTCCTGCAACCCTTGAAGCAGCACACTTGTCCATCCCAGCTCTGCTGCCTTGCTGTTGCTCCATGAAGGAACTATCAATCCTAATCCCTAGACCCTGAACCTCGGAACATCTGCAGGAGTATGTGCAGACCCTGAACCAGATCCTCACGGAGCTGGATGGGCCGCTGCCCCTAGAGTGAGTTGCTGTATTTCCTACCAGAGCCCAAACCCGACATCCTAAACCCCAAAGCCTTATAGTAGTAGCTCATATAGTACTATACCCTAAACCCGACATCCTAAACTCTAAGAGCTAAGAGCTTCGCAGAGGTTTCATGGACATGGCGATGGCATCGTCGTCCTTGGAGCGACGAATCGCCAGGAGGCACCAGCAGCCTAATGCCTACAGGAAACCCACCGTCAGACGTCAGATGCTATCTATTTGTCTATCTATCTATCTATCTATCTACCTACCCAGCTACCTTTCTATATATCTGTCTGTCTACCTACCTACCTGCCTACCTATCTATCTATCTATCTATCTGTCTATCTATCTATCCATCCATCCATCTATCTATCTACCTATCTATCTACCTCTCGATCTATCTATCGATCTATCGATCTATCCACCGATCAATCTACCGATCTATCGATCTATCTATCGATCTATCTATCCATTCATCTATCTATCCATCTATCTATCGATCGATCTATCTATGTATTTACCTGTTTATCATTATTTATTTATCTATCTATCTATCTATCTATCTATCTATCTAAATATGCATAGACATACATATACTCATGTTTCGGTTGCTTTGGGTTCCGACCTGGAGGGCTCTTGAGAGCTTGATGAGGAGTCTCTTGCAGGCGTCAGCAGCCCTACACCCTGAACCCTAAACCCTCTAAACCCGAAGCCCTCTTCTGTCTTCGTCTGCCTTGGGGTCAAACTCGCTGTCTTCCTAAAGCTTAATCTTTAAACCCGAAGCCTGGATTGCAAGGCCATCGATCCGGCCTTGTTGCGACCGGGTCGCCGCGACCTTGCGGGTGGGACCTTTCTCTCAAAGCTCCAGTACTAGTCCGTCGTATTACTATCATGAGTACTATGACGTTTATACGATTAGTTTCATTATTACTGTTATCACGTTGTTGCTATTTGTGAGGGTTTGCCGTAAGTATTGATTGCTCAGATGGGCCCGTAAACGGCAGGCCCACCAGCAACAGCAGCCTTGCTGGGCGTTTAGGGGTCTACGGTTTAGGGCTAAGAACCCTAAACCCTAAACCCTTAACCCCTAAACTGGGAGTTGCCCAGGCTTCGATCGGTTCATCCAAGTGGATCTCCCCGATGAGGACCTCTCGGGACTGTCGCTGATTCGCTGCTTGAGACGGTTTAGGGATCAGGGTTTAGGGTTGAGTCTCCTTTTAGCTGGCATGAGCCCTAAATTCCAGGAAGCTTGAAACAGTAAAGTCGTAAGCCCCCGAAGCCCCATAAGCCATGATCTCAAAACCCGAAACCCCATTGTGCGTCCATAAGTATATGAATATATATATATATA